TGTCTTTCTGGATGGTTCTGTCTTGCTGAAAACCAAAAGAGGCCTGACCAGAAGCCAGCCTGAAATGTTCTTGCCTCTTGTTGCAGCCTACAAGGCTTCATGAACACTGAACCGGAGGCTACCAGGAGGGTGCCGTGGGAAATCTGGGTTTTCCACTAAGCCACGAGACTACAGGTATCTGTGAGCAGCTGCAGGGCGCTAAACCAATTATGGGAACTGAGTGAGGGGTAGTCGGACCGGACACTGTGATTAGTCTCATGCTTCTCAATGTGCTGGGATTCTGAAAAGCTTTTATTTTCCAAAAAGCAGTTTGGGCCACGTATCTGGTGAGTGCCGTACTTGATCTTGCGCAGTTAGGTGTTTTGTTTTTTTTTTTAATTTAAAGAAATTTAAAAAATTTTTCAGTCTTATTATAACTAAACTCCTGAGACTACATCTGGTCCCTTCAGTACTTCGTTCCTTGTGTCTGAAAGGCCTTGACAACTCCTTTATCCCTTCAGAGAAACTCTGCATCCTTGAGGACTTGTTTGACTGTCCCTTCTTCTAACAAGGCATCTGTAGGGTAAGTAGCCCTTTCTCGGGATTTCTGATTTTAGTACAAACCATATTTCATTGTCATTAACTGCTTTCTTTCTCATTAGTCTATGACTTCTTGAGGGAGGAGATCATCTGATCACTACTGTTGGTGAACACAGGTTCGGGCATATGGCAGGCCACTAGCTCTCAAAACACGGTCCCATCAGTGCCTGTTTGAGTGTCACCTCGGATGTCAGTTTTACAATAAACATTACCTGGTTGGGGGAGGCAGAGATTCTGCCTTTTAAACAGACTGCCCAGATGATTCCTTTCCACAATGAAGGCTGGTAATTTTTTCGTAGGCTCTTAACAAATGTTTGTTGATTTATTGATATGGACATTTGTGTCTTGGAAGCAAGATTTAGGTCAATGACTCATTCTTTATGGTCAGTAGCTTTCAGAGAAGCACACACTTCCCAGATTACTTTTCTCAGGTGCAGCCTAAATACAGCCTCGACTCCATTCACTGAAAACAACAAAACCTCACCATTTAATCTTCTTTAAGTGTATTTCTCTACAGTCCACTCATCTGCTTCCTAACACCCATTATCGGGGGGAATGTTCCTGTTCAGATGGAGACTGGTTGTGTGCAGACAGGTGAACCAGTGGTAGGGGTGGAAATTGGTGGGGGGGGGGGCACTGATGGGAGGCAACATCCTGGTTGCCCGTAACATGTATGTCCTGATCTGTAGAGGAGTCAGGGTGATCTGTAAAGAAGTTTGCCTTATCATTAAGAATTTGCAGCTGGTTTTAAACCACAGGTCTGGGAGAGTTCTGAAGAAAAGATACTTTATCAACAGAGCTGTTAAGAAGGTTTTGACTATATCGGGGTGGGATTTACAGTGATGACTAGCATCGGCAGGGTGCCAATCAGGGCTGCTAGGACTAGAAATCTACTTTATTAGAATTACTTAAAAAGAGAAGGTGAAGTGATACAGACATAGAGTTATACTGTTTGCATCTCTTCTGAGCTCTCTGCCTATCAATAAAAATTCTTTTGATCCATTCTTCAAAATAATAGCTAGTGGTTTCAGAGCTTTGGTTATAAATCAAAAGTATTGTCTCCTTCTATCCCATATAAGTTCAGTGAATGCCAAATCCAAGCATAGGCCAAATGTGAAGAGGACTAGGAGTTTGGGCTTAGATGCTAGACAACATCAGGCCGACCTAATGTGTAGTTACCGTAGAGTTGTGAGCTATAAAATAGTACCCTGCATTGCCCTCCACAATCATGTAATTCTTTTAGATCTAATTATATGTTAACCTGTCTTTACAAGGATTGATTATAAAATAATCCAGAAATCAAAATAATAAAGTGCTTTTTAAGGACCCATCTTTTTAGCTGAGTTGGAATATAGCACTTAATCCTCATTGTCAAGCAGAAAGTTTAGCAGAATGGTTGGACTGTCAAGGGACTCAATCCAGATCTGCCAGACTCCCAGCTAGTATCAATGAGATCTCACTGATCGTCTGTGATGTAGATCTACCTTACGTCTTAAAGACTGTGTAGAAAGAATACACACTTTTGCCAGGTACATTAGTGTCACAAATAATTAGCATTGCTTATTGTTTAGGAAGTTCTAGCCTCAGTTTTATGTTATCTGTATGTGGAATCTATTTGAATAGCGTATTTCTCACTCCCTGCTTCTCTTCCCGGAAATCAAGATTTATGCCACTCTGCTTTTTTATATAACATTTGTGTGTCCCAAGAGTGTTATATGAATATATTTGCATATAGCATATAATATAGGTATCCAGATGTGATGAAGATTTTGCTAATTACTATTTCCAATTCAAGGGAGATTTTTGCTATGCTCCTGGCCTTCTAGGCTGATTTGGAGCAGTCCCATTGTACCCTCTATATGGGCTTAATTATTCCAAGGGAAGATTCCAGGGAAATTGCAAAGAGTATTCTGGACCTCTCCAGATATAGCAGAAGTCCAGGAGACTCCCAGAGTCATTCTACCTACAAGTGTTCTTCAGAAAAGAGTAGCCCCAGGACCAAAAACTCCTTTCTCTGTATAGTTTGGTCCAAAGCAGTTTGGGACCCCATAGTCTGTCATTCTGTCCCTGTCACAACCCTTATCTAGATTCCAGAAGCTGCAGGAGAGGTCTTTTTGGTCCCAGCATTCAGGTTTCTACAAAGTATGGATGGCCAAACTCAGCAGAGAGACACACTTAATGGCAGCATCGATTTTGCCAGTATTAGAAACTGTTTTCTACCTTGGCTTTCCTCTGGATTACTCCATCTGACGACAAGTGTAAGTACCTCAGTAATTTGGGGGAGGGTATGAATTGGAAAACACATAATTTTAAAACTTATATTAAGGTAAAGTAAGATAAAGTACCAAGGTAGAGAGGTAATGGAGAAATGAAGGGAAAAAAAGAAACTCCCAAGTTTATTTTAATCAAAAAACTTGAGTCTCTAGCCTCCCTTCTACCTAAACATTCTCATATAGTGATCAAAAGGAGTGTCAAAAGCTAATACAGGTAAACCAGTTCAAAAGACCAAAAATGAGGGGGAAAATCCTGGAAAATTTAGAGTTGGTTGTGCCTTTTTTTTTTTTTTTTTTTTTTTTTTATTCGTGAGAGACAGAGGCAGAGGGAGAAGCAGCTCCCTAAGGAGGGAGTCCGATGTGGGCTCGATCTCAGGACTCTGGGATCATGACCTGAGCTGAAGGCAGCTGCTTAACCAACTGAGCCACCCAGGTGCCCATTTGTGGCTGCTCTTTATTGAAGATTCTGACTTACTAAAGTTTTTTTTCTTTCTCATATACTTGTGAATTTTTCAATAGTAAAGACCTAAGCAGAGATAACATGTTATAAATTATCTACTCCTATTAACCTATGTTGTGTAAAGCAGATCATTTCTTAAATTTTGAGGTAGCTGATTGAAAAGAAAAATGTGTATGTGTGTAGTACTATTTAGGAGACAGTGTAAGTAAACTGTGTTCTCCAAGCACAAAATACAAGGAGAAGTACTTAGAGGCATGAAATTTTTAAAAATGGAGACTCATTCCCATTTTTTAAAGCTTCAAGTGGTCTGTATTATTCACACTTACAGAAGGAATGTTTACTGATCATCATGTGCTTTGTTCACACCCTAAAATCATGGGGATATCCCAACTTTGTCACACTGAGCAAAAGAGAAACAGTTTTCAGCACTTGTCAACATTTTCCAATAGAAGAAAAATCCAGTTGCCAACTACATACAGGTTCATTTTGGGTTCCTGGAACTGATAACACATCAGCATGTCTTATGAAACTTGTGCATGGCACGTTATTACAGCTGTATATCATCAGAGAAAAAGATAATTGGTTTTCCTTGGAGTATCTCTAAGTTGATGTCATATTCAATAACCCTGTAGTTGAAAAATCTATATATGATGGATGAAGTTTGGACTATCTTGAATTTAATTCCTCCTGTGCCAACTTCTACAGGCCCTGGTGTACCTGTCATTTTGAGGCGAGTGCATGCATTATTTAGAAAATGCAGCCAGGTGCTACTTCTGCCAGAATACCAACTAGAGAAGAACAATTTGTCTCACATGCACAACAGCCTCATCCTTCACTCTGAACAGTGCCAAGGAGGAGCCAGTTTAAACTTGGAGCCTCACACCAGGGTCAGTGCCAAGGTGCAGCTTGAATCAGTGCTGGGCATCACAGAGTGAGGAGGACAGCTTCTCTTTCTCTAGAGTGAGGACTATGGAGAGAGCCCTTAAAACATACCAGCTTCCACAATGGGGGCCCAGGCACATCACCAACATATCCTCATCAAGAATTCTTCCTTGTGAGAGTAAGTACTACTTCTGGATCTGTGTGCTCATGAGGACTCTCAAAAAGAGATCAGTCAGAGCTTTGTCTCTGGTCCAGACAAAAAAAACCCAACCTAGATGTATTTTGTGGGGCAAATAACAGTAAAATTTTCCCTTCCTTCCCCTTTCTTAGTGGCCAGCTCGTTTTATTTATCTTGGTTAAATGGATCCAGACGTGGGCAGGGAAGCCCGGATTAGCCTAGTGGTGGTAGTCCAGATGTCCCTGTGCCATCAGCATCACAGGGCTGACCTCAGGATGCAGCCTCTTTTGATTCTGGGGATCTGGCTTGATTTGCAACTTTTGGATTGGATGCACCCTGGCCTTCCAAATTTTGGAATTTAGGTTTGTTAACATGTGAGATGCAAAATAATTGGTCGTCTTATAATCAGTTCTATGTTGTACAGCCAACTAATAATATACATGGTTACAGAAGAGCAAAACCCCTTAGTTTGTATGTCCCTAATTTGAAGTGTAAGTATAATATTATCTTGACAAAGTTAATCTCACCTCTGACCAGAAGGCAAAGCTTTTTTCAATTGTTAATGTGTTGGAGGTGAGTTAGTTTAATATTATTTAAGACCAAAGGATGAGGAAAACAATTTCCTTACCGATTAGTAGAGCTTCTTTCTCTGATTTTAAACCTTGGCTTCTTTTTTCTATATTGTTCTCTCGGTCTTGATTGACCAATGCAACTGTCAACACATTGATTTCCTATGAGGTTAAAAAACAAAAACCATATAGGCATGCATGTATATTTTGTGCATTTCAATAAAAGCCACCAGGTTTTTTCAACTCAATAAATAAGGTCATCACTTCCATTTATAACTGAACATCAACTTTTAGAAATAATTGATCTATGTGCCCAATAACAGAAAAGTAATACTAAAACTTAGGTTCCTAGTTACTGCTCCCAGCAAATCAAGTAACTATGCAAAAGTGGCAAATTTGGCATAAATTATCTTAGGTTTTTGTCCAATGTGTTGATTAAACTCCGTTAGCAAAGACTGTTTGATTATAGCTACTTTAACATGTTTTTATTTCAAATATAAAAAGTTTCCCCAAAAGCATGCACAGACTGATTTATATTACTATGCTAGTAACTTGTTCGAGTGTGTGGGGAAATAGGGCCTATTGGGAAGTTGAGATAGGATTGTTATTAGAAGGGTTTACACTGAATAAATATATGTCCTTATACACCACTGGGAAAGGTAGATAAAGCAAAGGTTGAGAAATTCTTTTCTTTGGAAACTAAAAATGAAGAATTGTATGACAAACCAATAACATGTAGAACATTGAAGTTGAACTATTTTTAGTTCTTCCAATGGTCTTTTTTATTTAGAAACAGAGAAAAAAAACTCCTATTCTCCCAGACTTTGTATTAGGACTCAAAATGGAGAATGATTTAATGGAAAATCAAATGTAATGACCAGAGACATACATATATGGGTTAGAATCATTAGGGTAGTTGAGTTTTGGAGGAAAGTTTCTCACTGAAAGACAGGTCTCAAAGAAGGACGAGCATATTGAGGAAAGAGTTAAGGATACTCCATTAGATGATGTCACAAGGCTAGAGGTTAAACATAGGGAGGGATAAAAGAGAACTTAGAAGGTCTGGGCAGAAGGTTTGGCAGGTGTTGCCAGGACTAGAACTGGTTACAGATATTGATATAGTTAATACAAATCAGTAAAGTTGGACAGATAGAAGAATACAGAAAATTGTTGGGAACATGTTGAGCATGTGAGTAGCACAAACCCCATCTGAAGGCATTCAAATAAAAAGAAAAAAGAAAAACTTCAGTGTATGTCAGTCCCGAAGTTCCATGAGCTGTGTTTAACCTATGAGCTGGTACTTTATAAATCAAGGGTAATTAGAAATTGCCAGGAAAGAAGTCTCTGCTAAGAAATTGCAATTGGCAGTATTTGGTGAGCATTTTGGAGGTTCCTCTAAAGGTCAGATTTAACTGCTGAGGACAGAGTAAGAGGTGAAGGTGGGTGTAAAGTAAAGAATTCAGGGAATCACAGTGATGTGGTAATAGATCAGAGGAGGATGCTGGTTGGCTAAGAGGGTACCAGTGAGGACTGAGGCAGGAATGTGCCCAGGAGGATAGGAATCAGAAAGGGTTTAAGGAATGGTCCACAGAAAGGTTGGAGCCAGCCAGACATAAAAAACCATTAGAGATGAAAGATGTTCTTATACTTCCAAAAAGGGATCTTGGGAACCTGCATCGGGAGAAAGAGAGTCCAGAATTTTTTTAAAGATTTTATTTATTTGACAGAGAGAGATCACAAGTAGATGGAGAGGCAGGCAGAGAGAGAGAGAGGGAAGCAGGATCTCTGCCGAGCAGAGAACCCGATGCGGGACTCGATCCCAGGACCCTGAGATCATGACCCGAGCCTAAGGCAGCGGCTTAACCCACTGAGCCCCCCAGGCGCCCCCGAGAGTCCAGAATTTTAAAACCAAACAAACTCAAGTGATTTATGTAGGTGAGCTCAGAAAAGGAGTTTCAGGAAAGGTAAAGGAATTCCCTCTGTATGAAATACCATATGGATATGTTTTAAGTGCTAGAAGAGTTCTGGAGGAAAGAGATGGAAAGATATTACCTAGGAGGATGATGGTATTATTTAAGAAATAATGAACCCAAGGGATGAATGGAAACAGTATCTCTCAAGAAAGGGTGATCTGTTCACAGCCTGGATGATAACTGGAGCCAAATGAAATTACTGAGAAGAGTTTAGCAGACAACAGGCCCACATTAATTGACAAAATTGAGTGGTGTCCTGGAGTCATCACACAGTTGAGGATCCAGGTTTAGTAAGGGAGAGGGACCACAGAAGGCAGGCAGGACCTAAGGAACCAGCAGGAAATGGCAAGGACAGAACAGATAGAGACCATTCAAAGGGTTTATTAGGCACTTGTCTCATATTCAGAGCTGGCAAGGACGTTGAGCAGATCCCAGCAAATTCTTTAAGAAGCCAGATACAGCCTACCACTGACTGATTCTCTGATGATGATTTAGGCTTGGGTAAATGAGAATGGAAAGAGATGAGTCCTAGGAAATATCTTTGAGATTGAATTTTGCAGCAAGTGCTCTGCTGCCCACAAATGTGTTCCCTGGCACGGTCACTTTCTGTGACTCTGGAGTGGATACACCTCCCTGCAAGGCTTTAGCAGCATCCACTAGGCATAGGCCTAACAGAGACCTGAGGCTTGGGAATGCTTCCATCTTCAGGTTCCACTGTGGGTTCTGCCCAGGGTGGATATGTTGCTGCTTTTCTTACCCCTTTCTGGAGAAGAACTATTCTGGGAAGTGGTACAGGACCTAATGAAGTGGACCAGGCAGGCTCCAGGTGGTGCTTGCATGCTGTAATAAGCTGGTGTCAAGAGCTGGCAAAAAGGGAAATGTCATTTCCTTTAGAGTGCAAGGCGTGTCCCAGCAAACTGAGAGACCTGGGTCCACAACATCATGGGTAGAGCGGACCAGCCTGTGGCCACTCAAAAGCATTACTATTGGCCAAGTGTCCTGGAGGCCAAGCCTGTCACAGGCATGGTACGGAAGCTCAGACTTGAAGGTTTTGGTCCAAGATGGCAACACCGACTCTGAACACACCTCCTCCAGAGAACACACCTCCTCCAGAGAACACACCAAGTTACAACTATTTATAGAAGAATTCCTCCTGAAGAAGAACTAAGGGCTGACTGAACAGCCTTTGGATGACAAAAGACAGAATGGCAAAAGAGATCAGTAAGAGACCAGTAAGGAAGGGAGCCCCCACCCACCACGCTGTGAATGGCACTGGGGAAGGAAAGTACTGAAGACCTGGAAGAAATTCCTTACAATTGGGCACAGAAAAAAGCCATGGTTTAAGAGAGTGACTAGTATCTAAAAGAGCCAGCCCTTGAATACCACCAAATGGTGGAAAAGCTGTGGGAACACACTCTGAGTCAGACTGGAGAACAACATGGTTTACACCCCAACCCCCAAACTTAAAAGCATAGCCCAGATCAGGGTCCAGTCTCCATAGCTGGCTTGGCCAGCTCCGCAAGCCCCAGGTCCCCTAGGCAAACATCAGCTTCAGATGGTGGGGCACAGGAAAAAAAAAAAAAAAAAGCCATAGTTTAAAAGATCAACTGGCCTATTAGAATGCCAGCTCTAAAACTGCCAAATAGTAGGGGTAGCTGCTGGGGTGCTCTGCAGGTGGGAGGGGTTGATAACCATATTCTACACTCACTACCCCTTGCACACACCTTGAAAACACAGAATGATGCATGGTCCTGGTGGCCTACTGGCCTGCTGCCTTGGTGAGCCCTAGACCTCTGACTCACACCAGTACCATCCGGCCCAACAAGGCAGCCAAAGGGATGCCCTTGGTTAGCACTACAGCTCTAGCTCATACCAAGGTCACAGGCAGAAAGCACCCCAGAACGCTCAAGGGGCCCACACCACTTTGGCTTCAGATGCCTTGCTAGGGTGCCTCCAGTGTAGAGTGCTCCAGAACTTTTTGGTTAACATCTGCTTGAGATCCAACTGCCCTGCCAGGGTGCCCCCAGCATATAGTACCCAAGGAACCCCCAGCCCACGCCTGTATCAGTTCCAGTTATCCTCTGTACAGAGCACCCCCAAAACACTCTTGTCCACACTGGCCTTGGCTCCAGTTGCCTGGCCAGGGAACCCCCCCTGCACTGAGTACCCAGAGACACCACAGCTTGTACCCAATTCAGCTACAGCTGTCCTGCCAGGATACTGTTTGTGTAGACAGCTCAGGGACCACACCATCCCATGCCCAGTTTAGTTTTCAGTGCCCTGCCAGGATGCTCCCTGCAAGAATGCCCCAGAACCTGCTGCCCTATACCCTGCCTCAACGCCATCTACCCCTTCAATGCATCCTTGTGCCAAGTCCTGGAACATCCCAGTTTATATTCACTTCAGCTTCAGCTAGCCTACTAATGTGCCCTCTGTGCTAAGAGCTGCAGGTAACTCTGGCTTGTACCCACTTTAGTTTCAGCTTTCCTGTCTGGGCACTCTCTATGTAGACAACTCTGAGAACTCCTAGCAAGCACACTGCCTTAGCTCCAGCCACCCTTCCAGGGCATGCCTTGTACACAGTGCCTTAGACACCACAGGTTGCACTACCCATTTCAGCTTCAGCTGTCTTGCCAGGGTGCCCTCAGTGCATAGTATCCTGGGACACCCTGGCCTGCATCCACTTCAGCTAGCTATCCAGACAGGGAGCCAGCTATGTGGAAAGCCCACGCCAGCCACAGCTCAAGCCAACCAGCAAAGGTCACCAAGCACACACAGTCTACCCAGAGGATGACCACACCAATTAAGAAGTAACTGCTTCGCTAATCCATAGAAACAAACACAGGAAATTAAAGAAAATAGGGAAATGGAGAAATATGCTCCAAAATAAAGAACAGGACAAGAACTCAGAAAAAGAACTAAGTGAAATAGAGATAAGCAATATGCCTGATAAAGATTTTAAAGTAGTGAACATAAAAATGCTCACTGGGCTGGAGAGAAGGGTAGAAGAATTCAGTGAGGCCTTCAATAAAGAGATTGAAAATACAAAAAAAAGAACACAATAACTAAAAAACACAGTAGAGGGAATCAACAGATTATTGGATGCCAGAAAATATCGTGATCTGGAAGACAAGGTAAAGGAAAGCAAACAAACGGAACAGCAAAGGAGGAAAGAATTTAAAAACCCAT